CTAAAGGTAACTGACAGCTCAATAACTTTGATATTGATATATCGATCACATAATTTTCATAATGTTCTGGATGTAAACTATCATTATTTTCTACTTTTCTGTCTTTATTTCATTTTTATATATGAGAACTGCTGCATCTACAACTTCCGATTCCTAGGTTTGTTATTATTAATGTCTAAAAATAATCCTCCTTGGGCTTATTGATTGCAGTCCCTTACCAAATCTGGAACTGCACATAGGAAAACAATCACCTTCTGGTAGTCATTGTTTCCCTAGATGAACGAGCTGTGCCTCCATTTTAATTTTACCATTGGCACTTGACATCAAGATTTTTTTAGCCTGATCTACCTAATGTTCAACTGTCCCCCATCCCATCCTCCATTCATATTGGCAAAGAACAGTCCTATGGAAGAGTCTGGGAGATCTGATCTGCCTTTTTCCTCTTCCTAGGTTTGCAGTGGTAAGCATTACTCATTGGAGGCAAAAAAAGACTGGAATAACTTGTATGGTAAGCTGTCTTTTTAGAGGGTTCTGTGTAAATTGTGAACACTTAGAGTCATTTAAATGGGTGGAAAGAACAGAATAATCTTCCTGTTCATCCTGAGATAGATGTGCCCACCAAAAGGAAGATCTTAGACCTGCGTGTCCGTTGTGAGTTGAGGAGAGACTACGCAGTCATCTCACCTTACTGCGACTGCTGTGCCCAGTAACTAAGCTGAGAAACCAGAGGCACCTGCAGTAGCTTAGATGAAGTTTCTTTCACAGAATTAAGTTTTTATTGATAATGTCAAGAAAGTCCCCTTCTTGACAGTCAGATCAGGAATATTTGCTGTCACTTTTGTACGGTAGAACTTAGTGATTAGTGAAGCTAAACGGAAGAGATCTCTCAGTGTGGATTTTCCCACTGAATCCCCATGCCCCAGGGCTCTGTCCCTTGCTTCCTAAGTTACCTGGCATTTTCTCCAGCTGCAGGAGCCACTGAAAGGTTCATAAGAACAAGCAAAGTGTTGGGTAGTTAGGTAGCAAATCCTTACCCCTCACGGGATTTAGTTTATATGATTGTCTTGTGGCAGATGCACAACAGGAGGAGAGAACCCAACAATTCTCGACAACACTAGCAACCTCGCAATGTAGGGTTGGCAAGTTCATGCAAGAAAAACTTACTATCAGCCAAAGGCCTGAAAGGGGAGGTGGTGGGGGCTGACTGCCTATGGATCCACGACGCACAAAAATGGAATGCTTCTTTTTTTTTTTTTTTTTTCCTTTTTTTTTAAATTTAGGAAAAAAAGATTTTTCTCCTGCCACCACCACTACTAGTGCTGGTAGGCCACCTTTATTGGTGGAGGAGGCAGAAACAAGTGTAGCAGAGGGGCTGGGCAGTACCTGCACCATCAACCAAGATAGTCCTGGTGACCACAGTGGTGGAGCAGGAAAGCACATGTAGGTCTTGAGTGTGTAGGTAAGGGAAGGAGTTCCTGAACCCTGGGGGCAGGGTGGTTACCACATAACTGTGGTTAAGCTAATGATGATGCAAACAAAGTTTATAAACTGACTATTTTCCCCATCTATAAAATCAAAACAAGACGAGTGAGAAGAGAGATAAGAAAATTTCCTGCCTGTGGGCTGAAAGGAGCTAAGGAAAGCGAATACAGTTTAGTCCAGATACCAAGTCAGTTTTCAATAAAAAAGCAGAGCTGAAGCTATCCCAGGCCTTCTACAAAACCAAAACATCTCCTGTACCAAGTGCCTGTGGCACACAGTTATCTCAGGCTAAAAAGGGCTGGAAAGACTGAAAACCAAGTTCTTATCTTTCTTTGCACATCATGACTAAGTCTCTCAGCTATCGCCTCTGCAGCACCAGGCAATTCCTCACTGTATAACCCTTTTAAGGGGTTTCACTCGTTTCTGTTTTTCCATTCATGCAAAAAAGGTTCAAAGGCACAAGAGGAGGCTGATGCCATTTCAGAAGCTCCCTGCTGTCCTTTAAAACATTAAAAACTCTCTCAAAGAATCCAAAGCAAACTTTTGCTCTCCAAGAAGAGCAGAACTGACAGATCACCCTGTTTTGATCCTCTTTTTTGGTGTCCTGATGAACAGAATTAACAATCCATTTTTCCAATTTTGCTTTTGAGTGTTTTTCGCTCCTTTATTTCTTTACATCCCTTTTTCTTTTTTAAGTGTTATTACGGATCTCCAACAGTACTTCAGGTTTCTGTTTGCTGTTTTTCAGATTAGTATCCCCGCTCCAAACTAAATGACTCAGCCACATTGGCTTTGAAGTCTCCAAAGAGCTTTTGTAATTGTCTGTGCTCCCTGTGAGTGAACTCTACTATCTCAACATGTTGGCCAATTTTCTTCACTAGTTCTTCTTCAGAATAAACACTGAAACTACTCTGTTTCTTAATATATTCCTCTTTTTATCTAATTTGGTCTGCCTACACTTTAATCTAACTGTATGTATTGCTTAATTCCCTGCAGTACTTGAAATTTGGACTGTTATTAAATTGTGGTCAGTACTACTCTGTTAAACAGTGTCTTCATTTCACCATAATACTTAGACAAAATTAAATATAAAGCACTATCCCCTCTAGTTACAAAATGAGCCAATCCTTCCATTTCTGAATTGCTTTAGTGCAATAGTCAACATTAAATGAAAATCCTACTTAATATTGTTCTCCCTAGCCTGATAGCTAAGCCACCTTCTCCAGCATTTCGAGGAACACTTTGTTATTCTTATTCAGATGTCAGTACATTTTTCCTATAAATATACTTTTCTTCTAGTTCTTCAGTGGCCTGCTGCACTGACTCAAGACTTCAACTATTTAAACCATTTTTGTCTATCTACCATAACCAACGGCTGCTTGCCATAATGCACCGCATCTTTATTTTCAGACATAATGAAAACATTCATTGGTATTATTATTACTTACTATTAATACCACATGGTCAAACTCTAATTCACTTTAAGCCATTATCTCACTAAGTTGATTATCTTTGTAACAGGTAAATCTCCTTTAGTGATAACAAATATATTTTTGTGACCGTATTAACCATTGCTGGATTTACTAAATGGATTTATGGGAGCGTCTCCCCTCCTCCCCGTATCAGCACCACACAAATAAACCTACTCACAGTACGCTGGAGCAGCTGTACAATTCCTCCCATTTAAAGCAATGCTGGACCTGGCCCTGACATTAACTATATTTTTATAGAGTCTATCCAGTAGTACATTTACTCTACTTCCATTTCCAGAGAGCCAGGCTATCTTCACAACTCTATTTCACCCCTTCACCTTTATTTCAGGGCTTTACAGTTCCAGCCATCACTATTTTATCTCTCAAGGCCTCTGTGAGAGAGGTAGAGCAGCAGCTCACAGGGCTGTCAGTTATCTGTGGGTGGAGGACCCCTGATGTACCTCAATCCACCACAGGTGCACGGATACCTTTACTAGCTCCACAAGCACTCATCTCCAAGCTGGGAGCACACAGAACATGGGTGGGAGAATGTCAGCAGAATCATCACCAGCCAGGATAGGTCCCGTGTGTTTTTTTAGCTTTGGGACAGAGCTCTTTCCCTTCAGCTGACAAGGAGTTATGATACAAGGACATAGAGAGGACACATAACCTGATGGTCAGGGTCAGTCCCAAAGACAACCCTCATTCAGCCAGAGCTTCATGAGCTGCCCTTCCTTAATGCTGCATCAACCACGTCGTGCATTAAAGTTACCAATGTTGAGCTTTTTATTCCATGAATGAAACCTTTGTAACACCACTGCTTCCAGGGCTTCTCAGACTGCAGGGAGAGGAATTGAGCAGAAAGGCCAGGAGTCACCAGTGGGGAATGGTGGGACTGCCCTTGGCCTAATCCCTGGACCATGTAGCCTGGCTGAAGAGGTGTACATGCAGAGAAGCCAGCAGGAGTTGAAGGCAACCTTGTGCCAGACATTCAACAGAGCCCTGGGTCAAGCCAGGCAACTTCCAGGAGTCAGTTGCAGGGTTTTTATAGTGCAGATGGCTGGAGAGACAGGACTGCAGGGTCCACACACTCAGAGCAGAGGTACCCCGTGACACTATGTCACTTCCTCCCAGCCAAATTTCCAGTTAATGAGTTAACTATGGGGTTCATTCTTCTCCTCAAAATAAATAAAATACCAAAGGTCACTGGTCAATAGTTCCTACCAACACACACCAGTCTGGCTGCTTCCTTCCATCAAGAGCATCATTGAATTGTTTTAGATGTGAGTCGATGTCCACTGCAATTGGTGTGAGTCCTCCGGTGACTCAGAGGGCTTTGGAGCAGCAACAGCTAGGCCACTTGTTTACATTCTGAAGTTTATTTACATGAAATGCTTATTTTTTAATAATGTTAATAAATGAGTTCAGTGAATTCACAGTATAGCAGACTGTAGAGTATTAAAAATTGCTTTGGCCTAGAAAACAAGCCTTTTGATAATAAACATCAGAGCACCAGATACTGCAGGATGGCCCAACCCAGATAATGAGTTAGGGATCTAATAACAGACGACTTCCTTAAAAAATTGCTCTTGGGATTTTTCAGATTAATAAATACTGAATTGATTTTTTAAGAATCTTAATTCACATTTTGAAGTTTTGTTAGAAAACATAAGAGCTATAAATTGTCTTAAAGAAACTGCGTGAACTGGATGCACCCACAGAGCTGAAATTTTCATGTGATTGCCTAATTCCAGGAAAGGGAGCTTAAAAAAAAATATCGGAAGACACCCTACAACTTCGAAAATCATCAGTGATGCAACAAGGACCTTAGTCTGTATCACAGGAAAGCACCAGAAATACTTTGAACATGGACTGTGAAGGCAAACACAGGGATCAGAAAAAGCTACCTAGATCTTTCGAAATCACATCAATGTCATAAAGAGTAAGATAATGCTGCATTTGCTGTTTCACATATAGATTTTGGTCAACATAATTAAAAAAACCAACCAAACAAACAAAAACCAAACAGGGTAAAGAAGAGCTTACCTGGATCACTAAGAAATTCCTCTGAGGTGTTCCACATCCTACCATCCAAATACAACGTGCCATTGGTGGAGTTAAACTTGGTGTAGTCCCTGACACACTTGTGTCGCAAGTTGCCCATGAAGAGCTGGAGGCCTATGAGGGCAAAGACACTCAAGCAGAAAACGGTCAGGATCATCACATCAGCAAGTTTCTTAACCGACTGGATAAGTGCCCCTACAATGGTCTTCAGTCCTGGGGAGATAAAAGCCAAGAGTTTATAGACTGAGAGGCTGAAGCATGTCTGCAGATAGCTACTTTTCATGATGAAAATCTGCATGGAAGGGAAAATCGGAAGGGTTTCTACTACATGTTTGTAACTGGGCGGCAGAAACAAGGGACAAGTCATCACTATGAACATCTAGTTTGGCCTGCTTTTGTCTGGACAAAAGTCTTGGTATTACCCTTACACAAACAGTGATTTAAAAAATGGAGGGAAAGAACTGGATGGAGGAACAGTGAGATGCAAAAATATTAATGGATAAAGAAAATACAGAATGTCTTTTATATCTTCATGGAGCTGCAATAAAGGCTGTAAAGCCTAAATCCCATTGAATTTTGAGAATGTGAATTAGTTTTAAATCTCAGGTGATTTTGTTAACTTTAGTCCTTACATAAACAGATGAAAAGGTACGGAAATATTACTTATTCCCTGATTATTGTACGTATTTTGGTGCAAAATCCTGCTTGCAGTCCTGATATTGATAATTCCTCTGCCTTCAATTCATTTGCTTAAGACAACAGAATTTGGGATTAGAAATAAGACAAATAATACGGGCAATCAAATAAACCCAGTGGAAATTATTTGAGTAAAACAACCTGAGACTCCAGCTATACCTGGGTGAAGTTAATCATTTTATAATATGCTGCCAATGTAGATAAATCATCTTATTACAAACACCAAAGGCCTGGGTCACACAAATTAGCTTCTCCTGTGTTATTTCACCCTGTAACACTAGCTTCAGTTTATTATTCTACAGCTATACAGACATAAATATACTGTTTTCTCAAAAGATATTGCTTGCTTTTGAAGCGTTCCTGGAGAACAGCACTATTTGAGCTGATTAAATATTACATGAATACGATAAAACCCACACTTTTCAAAAAAAGACCCTTCTTCTAAACTTGTGTGCTGTAGTTGGACGTTAATATCAGCTGCACAATGGTAGCAATTTTGTTGTTTCTTTCTTATTTATATTTAATTAATACTCAATAAGTAGTAATCAGTGCTTCTGATAATCAGTGTCACCAGTATGGCAGCAGTAAGAGAAATTGAGTTAAATGGAAAAAAGAAAATGCAAAGAGGAAACAGGAGGAATTCTCCTGGGCAATACTCAGAAGCACATTGATTTGCTCACTGAATATGATCATACACATTAAATCTCAGTTCCCTGGAATTCCACCCCAAGAGTTTGGCAGCCACAAAGGTTGAGCTAGTGCTGTATAATTTAAAATAATATGAAAATGTACTTGAGGACTCATAGGAAGGCAAAATGGGGTTTCATTTTTGCTTAAAATTCTGTGGTTAAAGTAAGGAGAAATCACAGTTTTTCAAAAGAGGATAAGACGCTAGAATGGCCAAAAGGTCCAGCAGTCCCTGTATCCAGCAGCCTGAAATATTCCACTCCTGCATAGGGTACTGTCATTAGGTTAACCCATGAGTGATAATTAATTTCTATAAAATGGCCATTTAATGAAAAAGGGACCGACCCATTAGGTGTGGGCAGCCCCCTTTCCCCACTAAATTCTTTGTTTGCCTTTTTAAAGCTAGTTTGTGGCATGGTAAAGAGGGAGAGGTTAGACAGCTCCCTGCTCTAGTCAGAAATAAAGCAAAAAATATTGCAGTACAAACATCAGGCAAAATCTGGATTTTCACGCTATCTGCACTCCTCAACAGGAAGAGATTTTACAAATGAGGTCAGTTCTATTCAGGTACCCTGAAAAAGGGCAGCTTTGAACTCTTGAGTCCATCTGTAGATTTGGCTACCTATTTTGGCGCCTAAATAAAAAGCGTAGCTCTTCTGATAATCTAGCCTTGGGTGAATTTTATATCTGAAGTGAAAGTAGTTTTAGTTGTAGCCCAACTCTGAAGGACTTCCAGGGGTCTCACCCTCACCCAGTGTTAAGACTATAAGAACTTTAAGAAAGCCGGGCCTTAAACAAGTAGTGAGACAGGGAAAAAGAAATATGATTTGCAAATGCAATAGATTTTTTTTTTTTATCTAATATTCTGAAATGGTTTTGATGATTCTCATCATTGGTTGTCCTTTGAATGCACAGACGTTTCTTCACTGAAGCTGGTGAAACTTGGGAAGTCCAAATGCAAACAGAGTCTTAAGAAAGGGAAAAAAGCCAAACCACAAATTCTTTTTTTACTGCACTACCCTCTGTGAAATCCCTGCAGCGCATTTATTTGTTTGTAATACAAATACAAGCTTGAGGCCTGCATTTGTGTCATCTAAGTACACTAATTAATCTTACTCACATAGGCAAGGACAATGGGAGTCCTAATGTGAATAGGGATAATATTAGGAAACAAGACCTACAAAATCCTAACCAGCAATAAAGACTATCTGTTTTCGAAATCAGGCTCTGATATTGTTAATTTCCAGGTCATTTCATGAAACATGTTTTCCTCAGTTTACTTACTGGGGTTTTAAATAGAACAGTAATCCTATACTATTAGTTTTACAAGTTCATTCCTTGCAGGTGTCAAATAATTTCTTTATGAGAGGGCTTTCTGCTTTACTTTCTTGTTCTTTTTTTGTTTTAATAGCATACAGGCTTTTGAACAGTTTAAGAAGAGAATGCTTTAGTAATACAATTGCTGTAATTAAAGACCATTTAAAAATAACTTGTACCCTGCCTCCTGGACCTTTGTTAAAACTTTCCAGGAAAACCATTTGGGGAGTGGTATACTTACAGTCTAACTGTTTTTTCTCACCCTTTAAAAACAAAATTTGCCCAGAAAATTAAGTAGCGTCCATCAAGTTGTTTGGCACAACTGACTGCTAAGTAAAGTGTTTAAATCACCATTCACTTAAACTTTCTGTGCCTCACAAATGGAAGGGCTGAGGGGAAATAAGGACACCCAGAACCTCTTACAGGTGCTCTGCATTTCTCTGAATCAGTCCTGTGTTTTGTAAAAGCAATGCTAGATGTATTCAAATTTAGAGCACTGTTAAATCTTCTAGATAAATAATCCTCCTTTGAAATAGTGCCAATGAGAGGACTGCAATATAGCTTAATAGAAGATACTATTTATGGGGCATTAAAGGCATTTACTTAATTCTTGCAAGTCAAACATCAAACCAGGCAGCATGCAGAAAAAAAGTGAGGATCTGATCCAAAGCTGAGTAACATCTACGCCTGTTAATGACAATGGGTCTATAGATTACTCCCTGTGGAGTAATCGATACAGGCTTTTCCTGAATCACTGAATTCTTTCCACAATTCTGGGCCAAATCCTGCTTCCTCCCAGTGAAAAACACCATGAGATCCAAAATCAGTGGAACAAGAGCTGTATAGGCAGCCTGACATCTGCAAAAAGCAAGAAGGATTTGGCCCAAACATTCCTGTTAATGCAGGTAGAAATTACCACATTCAGAGGTTAATCAAATAATCGGTTTTCAAATGTAAATCAGAAACCATAGAAAATGCAAGCAACACCAAACAATGAGAAATGGCAAGATCCCACAACACCATCCATTCCTTCTAAGAGATGTGAGAAAGTATTAGCATAATTCAGTATGACATCCATACCAGATGTTGGCAATCACCTACAGAACATCAGACACTTCCATGCACAGTCTGGAAACGAGCGGGGAGAAAAAGCAAAAACAAAAAAAGAGAGTGTGACTTGCACCATGACTGTCCTCACCCAGCCTACTCCTTCTCCTGAGGATACACATGTATCTTGTAAATGTCTGCATGAGTCATGTGTGTTTAGGGAGAGAGGAGTGCACTCTTGATGAACGTATATTGTCATTAGGCACTGAGACCTGGGGCAGTTTAGAGTTTAATAGCATGTTGGCAAATTTGAATGGTTGTCAGCATTCCTGTAGACCATCTTGGCATAGAAATATGACTTTCAGGCCAGTCTCCAAGGAAAACACAAATATGTGGTGTATTGATCACCTCTGGGATAGTTACTTCTTGAGTTAAATGATCTGCCCACCAGAAGGGTGACATTTGTCTCTCTGCAGGAGGACTTCAGTGAGATTGAAGCAGTGAACGAGGGCCAGTCTCCTCCACACAGTCTTAATTCTTGTGCTCCGAGCTCTGTTCTGGCTATCAGTAAAGTACTGGATAACATTCACAGCGCTATTTATAGCCTTTAGACTCACACTAACTTAAACGGGAGCTGGATCAGGCCCCAAAGTGCCTTGGCCCAATTTTCTATGAGGTCACCTTTTGCCAGTATCCTGTCATTTTATGTGAGGTATCCATGATGCACACGCCTGTTCCACAAAGAGCAGTGAAGCTTCTCTGGATACAGGTGCTTTACAAAATCCTGGTGGTGGTGGTGGTGATGATGATGATGATGATGATGATGGCCTGCGTTTTTGCAGGCTTTTGAAGGGGAGGCACACAGGAGGATGTGCCTCAGGGCTCATAATTACCTCAATTAGTAGTAATCAAAAACATTGGTGATTTCCACACAGATAAACTATTATTTGAGACCCTCTATTGCCATGGGAAGGGCTCCTGTTGTGCACACTGGGACTTGGATATACTGGTAATGGGAGGCAAATGGGCGACTTTAGTGGATTATTCTGCTGCTGACCCTAGTTCCTATCCAGATGGAAAACGAACGAATCCAGTTGCCATAGCAATGTGCAAGATGCTAATTAATAAATAAAAATCACTGAGAGTTAAAGGTTTTATGCTCCTATAGAGAAAATGTTACCTATTTCTAAGCCTCTGAACATAAGGGATATATGAAGAAATTAAAAACATTTTTCTTTTAACAAGTCTGGATAAACAGATACCCAGGTACCGTACAAAGCTTGTTTTCTCTCAATATCACGGGCAACTGAAAAATAGAAAGATATAGGTGTGTTTAGTGTAGAAAAGGGAAAATTGAGAAGATACATGAAGGTTCTCCAGCATGTTAAGAGCTGTCGCAGAGGGCAAGGCACTGATGTGATGTCCTACACAGTGGCTGTAGGGTAAAAAACAATGAGCTGATAACGCACCAAGAAAGAGTGAGGCTGGATGGGGGTCTGGATTCAGAGACAGGACCTGCAGGTGATCCATGGCCCTGGGAAGCAGGAGATCCTGGCATGATGGCAACCAAACTGAGCCTCAGATCTCCAGTGAGCGGGAAGCACACGTCTTGCTGGTAGATGCTAATATTTGGTTTGCTGAATCTGGATCTGACCCTGCCCTCCCAGGGCAAATCTTCTAATGGCAAAAGCAATGATGTGCTGGAACAAACTTCTCAGGAGCATCATGAGACCTCCACCTTTGAAGGATTGTCAGAACAAGTCAGGTCATAAATATCAGACCAGGTCTGAGCTACCCTAAAGGCAGCCTTAGGCCAGGGGAATGTACTCTAAGAGTCCAGGAGAGCTTTTTGAGTCCTGTGAGTCTGTGTCCCCTAAATGTCCCTGTGCCTGCCCGCGCACTTGGAACGAGGCATTAGAGGTAGGTGAGATTTTTAAAAGCAGTAATTGTTAGCTTTACTGACTCCCTCTGGAGTCAATAGTGAAACTCATTGATTTCAAGTGAAGCAGAATTCCTTTGAAAACCAGCCTCTAAGTGCTTTGCTGGACAGAAGCCTTACGCCACGGAGGACTTGGCCCGTTACTTTCGGTAAGCAATTTCACCAAGCATGCTGAGTTGAAGTATGTTTGTGCAAATTTAACTACCTGATGGAAAAGTGTGATCAATTTTATTGAGGAAAAACTTAGATATTTGCAAAG